GCCGCTCACAGTCGCAGTCCGCCGCCGCTTACAGTCGCCGTCCGCCGCGGCGCCGCCACTCACAGCCAGCTGTCAGGTGAGCAAGTCTGCGGCTTGAATCCTGTGCCCGGGTCTGCCAAAGGAGTGTACCCGGGCACAGGATTCCAAAACCGGACTGTCCGGGTCATTCCCGTACAGGTGGCAACCCTAGCACCACCAGGTGAAATGAAAGAAAAAAAAAAAGGCAACCAAGTACAGATCAGCTGCAATCAATTAAATTTTTGAATTACTTTTGAATTTAGATGAACTTTAAAGGACACATTTTACAAATTGTTCACTTTCTGGAAGAAAGTCATGTCAATGGGTGCTTGCTTGACCTGCACAAGTCTAGAGGCATGTTTCAGTGTTTGCGCAGGAATGGGGACATCATGGAAAAATAAAAGCAGAATGAGCATATATTCTCTGTTGTGTCGAGTCACATCACAGCACTAATCTGGGCATGAACATCAGGGATGAGTTGCATTTGCCAGCTTTGGCCCTAAATTAAAACATTTGGATTGCATAGGTTTTCTGCTTGACTATGGAGGAAGAAGGGAAAGCACAGCGTCACTATCTGCAATTGTTCCTAGAGTAAGACTATATTGGTAACCTGTAGTGATCACACATAATTTTTAAATCCAATTGCTTTCTCGCTTGAGAATGACTGACTGTGTGGCACTCTCTGAGATTGACCTATAGGCGTTGGGTCACAGATTAATCTGGCTAATGTCTGTGGACAAATTTAGATGTTAAGGGCCAACTCTTGTGCTCCGTGTTCCCCCACCCCTCATGTGACAAGAAAGGTCTGGGAGGTCCTTAACAGTTTGAAGTTTTATAACAGTTGTATGAATGCATCATAATATTGTCTTTAAGTAGATAGTACTGTAAACATTTTACATAAATTTTGTTTTGTTTTTTAGGTGCAAGAACCTCAAATTAATAAGAATCAAAGCAGCTGTCCTTATGCATTGTATGTGGCCAGTCACTGATGGCACCTAACTAGAAGATCGATTAGCAGACGTGTGCGATATTGTGACTTTCTTCTAAGTATAAGTCGACCAGCATTGTCATGTTCAGACGTCAGGATCTGCCTGGAATGCATGTACGTGAATCCTTTTCCTGCACGGGTGTTTCCGATCCATTTATTCTGGATGCACAAAATATCAAGGCAGGTTTCCAATAAGAGTGTTCAGTTTAATGTAATTACAATGTGCAATATTTGTATTGTCTTAAGTTAATCTATAGTGGATAGAAACATTGTTATGTTAAATTCTTGTTTTAATAGGAATATACAGTAAACTCCAAGATATCCGGCACCCACGGGGATTGGTAGATGTCAGATAACTGTAGTGTCTGGTTGCTTGAGTGTTAATAGTAAGTCTCAAGCAATAGCCAGTCTCCTATTGGCTATTGCAGTTTGAAATAGCCAATAGCAGGCTGGATATTGCTTCCGATTGCTTACATTCAGCTGCCGACTGCGGAATCTAGCCGCTGGCTGGCAGCAAAATGTAAAAGGAATTTGTTTAGCAACGAAATAAATTTGCTAACTAAATTGAGAGTGTCGGCTGTTTGAATGCCGGATAATGGGGGGTTTACTGTATTGTGCTGTGTGCATATTTTATCCTTTTTACTATCTACTGCTCAGGACTAAATATTCTGTTTTATTTTATGAAACATTGCATATGAATTTGCATATTGAATATGAAAAATTGCATATGGATATTATGTACTTTTCTATCCAGCCAGCGGGTGCAGTTTTATAGCTTTTTGTCCAATTACAGAGCTCAATAGCTCAAGCTGAAAAGTCCACACACAAGTTAATAAGTTAAGACTCATTCCTTATCAGACATCCAAGGTTTCTGTTAAACAAATTATGCAAAAAATTAGACAGAGTCTTTACTTTTTCAAGTATAAAACATTTATATCCAGGGGTGTGGAAATAAAAAAAAAAACTTCTCCAAGGGATAAAGTGGGGGCCGAATCTACTTGTCCTTCATGACGATCTACTTGCCCCAATACAAAAAAATCGTTTTAATCAAAACTGGGATGCACCAATACCGGTTTTTCGGTATCAAGTGCGAGTACCGATATTTTGCTTTTGGTACTCTCCGTTACTGAATAGCATTACCGGTGCTTCCGCTGGCATGGAGCAGGCTTCCCGGGTAATCGGGAAACCAGGAGGCAGGTCATTACATGCCGCACAGCTTCCTGGTTGCCCGGGAAGCCGGCTCCATGTTCCTCTATGGCACTGCCGGTCAGAGGAAATTTTCCTCTGGCCGTAAGTTCCAGTATCAAAGCATTTGGGTGAGTACGAGTACTCACCCAAATACTCGGTATCAGGACTAATACTAGTATCGGTGTATCCCTTAGCAAAACATATTTGACTGTGCTAAATAGTGCTTCTCACTGGTCAGCGCGGTCACCTGACCACGCTGACCGATGAGTGCTTGCAATTTGCGAGCGAAATTCAATATGCATAAGGCAGGACTGCACTGAACAGCAGTACGGGGTACAGATAGTACACCTTTACTGGCGGAGGGTAAGGACTGGTCAC